TACTAGATCCCAGGATACTGGCACTGTCAAGACCATGGGATGTCCACAATTAGGATAGTGGCAAGTATGGAGTATTGCTGACCTGGGCATACAAGACAAGTTGTGTGTGTGTGTTTGCACGCACCCAGGAGCTCTGGAGCATGGAAGATCATGAGGGAGACCCATGTATTTGACATGGTGCTTTTTACACTATTGGCTTTTGGCTTTGCTTTGATCTGACTGTAATCGTGCCCCTATTCTTCACTTTTTAAATATGAAGCAATATTACTTATATATATATAAGTATATATATATATATAAATATATAAAAGTATATACATACATATATATATATATATATATATATATATATATATATATATATACTTTTTTTATTTTAAAGGGGCCCATAAGATACTTTAGATATTTTGACGAGAATTCAACCTATAAAGCATTAAAATTCTTAAGGACAATGCCCTAACAGGATAGACATCTGAAGCCTGCTAGTTGATACAGGGGCCCCAACCACTGTGGGCAACACCACCCTAAAGCACGTGAGCCTGGGCTGCGTAAGAAAGGATAGCCGAGCAGCTAGTAAGCAGTGTTTGCTGCTTTGGTTTCCCTCCAGGGTGGGCTGTAGTCTTTGAGAAGATAGAAAACTGTTCCTTTTAGGTTCGGAAACACACATTTAACTTGTACAAAGGGTCTTTTCAATTTGGTATCCTATTTGGGGACTGGAAAAACGGCTCTGTGCTTAAGAGCACTTGCAGTTCTTTTGAGCAGTACTGAGTTTGGTCCCTCTTACCCACATCTGGTGAGTCCCACTACCTGCAACATCCGTGACTCAAAATCTTCTGGCCTCTTCAGGTATATCTGTGCACATGCATGTGCCTGCGCAACGCGGCGCGCGCGCGCGCGCGCGCACACACACACACACACGCACACACAGAAAATTGTTGCATCAAAATGAAGAGTTAGCTTGCACAGGCTTCCAGAGATACAGCCTTCTTTTCCTTCCACCCCACACAAAGCACCATGGAACTATGTAAAAGTTTGAGGTTGCTTTTTTTTCCCTCTTTGGCATAATTTCCTTGAAAGTTATCAAACTCTGTGTCATAAACTAGCAATTAAGCCTTTGTTTAAAGGAGAAACAAAATTCTAACGTACAGGTATATGCTCTGGTTTCAATTTTCCTTGGTTCAATATACTGTATAATCTTTGTGATTTTTTTCATTGGAGTATGTGTTCACATGGGACCATATGACAGTACATTATTTAGGAAGTGGTCCAAAGTCTGATACTTTCTCCCTGATGGGATTGGACCCACTAATGCAACTGAAAACAATGCTGCAGCTTAGTGACTTCTTCATATACTACTGGTCCTCTAAATAAGCTTCCAAAAATATAATCCTTAGGCCCTAAGTTAAATTTACAATTTTGAAGGTGGAAAGCAGACTACAGAAAAAGTTACTGAGTCCTCTGTGGTGGTACTCAGAGCTGATTAATGGTTGCTGGTCTAGTTTCAGTTTTGGCAATGAAAAGAGCTTATTTTTAAAGAAAAACATAGTATCAAGACTAAATCCCTAATATCTACAATAATTTTATTCTATTTTTTATAAATATATTTCTGTGTATACTTTTGGGAGTGTGATACTTTTGGGAGCCAGAGGAGGATGTCAGACTCCCAGAGCTGGAGTTACAGGCCATTATAAACTGGCTGATGTGATGATGGGAATTGAACTCAGGTCCTCTGGAAGAGCAGTAAGTGCTTCTAAACAATGAGTGACTGTTCCAGCTCTGCCACAGTATCAATAAACATTTCACCAAGAATTATGTCCAAAAATATATATATATTCTTCACTTTTACTTCTACTAACCTAAACACCAAGATCTGCACATAAATTCATGATCTATTATGCTTTCTTAAATTATTGAAAATAACAATCTTTAATTGTTCCACAAACAACTCGAATGTTATCTCAACCTCACCACGACATCTGAGTGAGCCATTTGAACATGACCCTGTCCTCCACGAAGTCTGATAGGACTCCTCCACTCTGGTCTTCTCCTGAATACTACAATGGTGAGGCACACAGACGTTGGAGGGTTTGCTTGCTTCATCTTAACCGAGGGTAAGAAGTCTGTGGAGGCAGGTCTCTACTCTCTGCCCTCAGCTGCATCTCTGTTTCAGTGTGGAACAAACTGTTTATGAGAAGAGTGTATCTGATATGACGTGGGGAGTCCTTGCTAACTTCCTGCAGCATGTTCTCTTCTCCCTGAGAAAGGCTCTTTCCTATTTCTATTTACATCACCCTTGCCAATTAGTATATCATTTCCGGAGTTTGCTACACATTTCTATAGATCCAATGACAAAAACCAAACACAACAAGAATAAAAAAACCCAAAATAACCCTGCAACATTTATGAAGTTTACATTTGAATGCTATATTTAAATTAAAAATAATTTTAAAAGATAGTTCTCAGAATATCTCTGAATTGTATGAATGGTAAACCCCCACAACCTTCATTGCCAGGGACCAATCACAGAACACAGCAACTAAAGACAAGGGCTCTACAACACATCACGACGGTGATTTTTAATTTGAGTAACTAAAACCAAAGAGACCAACACCACCAGAAATGTTAAAAGTGTGCTGTAGTTGGTGGAGTATCTTCCCAGAGTTATGTAACACAATGGCAAGTCCAAAACTCTTAGGCAAACACCTTGGGTGTGCATGTAAACCTTTAAAATCCAAACCATCTTCTCGCACTGCAGAGGTGACGGAAGCCTGACAGAGGGTTCTTCTGGTAAAGGTGCTTGCTGCCACGCCTGCCTTCAGCACCTGACACACTTACATAGTCGGTGTACAGCAGTAGAAGGATCTGGCAGAGCAGACTCAACTTTGGAAATGGCACCCAGTGGTGCTGAAAGGAGACTTGGTAGTAGAGCAAGTATGCGCAAGGCATTAGTGACAGAGCTTACCGACCATGTGCAAGGACTGAGTGGGACAGTGTTTGCCTACTATGTGCATGGCCTTAGGTTCAACCTCCAATGCACACACGGCTTCTGAACATGTCACTGCTTAGCAGGGAAGCACCTGATGGCTAGTTATCGTAGCTGTGGGTTTTGTTAAACTGGAGGAAAGTGTTAGGGGCAGCCACAGTCAAAGAATATCGATAAGCTTTCTCTCTGGTATGAAAAATAAAGAGATGTAGTTGTAGCTTTTAAGTTTCCTTTATCTTCTTAAACACTTCCAACTTATCACTGTCTGCCAGCTAATTAGAACTAATGGGTATTAAAGCAACAAAGCAAAACTCAGTTAGTCAACCACACATAATTCAATAATTAGGCATTTTGCTTTTTATAAAAAAGCAATAAAGCCGGGCCCTGGTGGCGCACACCTTTAATCCCAGCAGGAGCAGGTAGATCTTTGAGTTTGAATGCATCTTAGTCTGCAGAGTGAATACAGAGTCAGGACTACACCTTGTCTCCAAAAACCAAAAACTTAATTCAAAAATACGAACAGATTTTCTTTACAATCATATGTGCCACATTTGTTTGATATCACCTGATAATATGATTTAAAAACTAGAAAGAACTTCTATATACTCTACTCTTTTTTTTAAATATAATTTGTTTATTTATTTATTTACATTAGTGTTTTGTTTCTATGTGTTTTCTGTGGGTGTCAGAATCCCCTGGAACTGGAGTTACAGACAGGTTTTAGCTGCCATGTGGGTGCTGGGAATTGAACCCAGGTCCTCTGGAAGAACAGCCAGTGCTCTTAACCCCTGAGCCATCTCTCTAGCAAACCTGAAATCCTCATCCACCCCCACCATGCTGCATCTCACCAGTTATGCGATTGCTCATACTTCAGAGCACACTCCTCACAGCAGGAGACATTTATCCCACTGTTTCTGACTTTCCTTTTTCTCTCCAGTTGAATACTACAGCTTAAAGCTTAACACACTAGGTGACTGTCCTTTATACTGTGTCTGACACATAGTAGGCACTTGACAAATATGAGCTAGAAAAGCAGAGTTCAAATACATGAGAGCAAGACTGCCAACTATTTATTACTTGTGGCATTTCATAACTGTAGAGTAAAGCCTATAAATTTTTCCTGATTACAGTATAATATGTAACACATTATAAAACAAAATAAAACACTTGTACAAATATTTAAACTCAAGCTCAGTAATTATTAGCAAGATACTACACAGAGCACAAGAACCACCTTTAAAAACATGTTGTTGTTAATTTTTAGAAAATTTTAAAAGCATGCAGTACTCAGAGCCATCAGGTTCAATTGTGATTCAGTATATTCCACACAAATGAATCATAACTGTAAAGCATTTTAAAATCTATGAAGACAAAGTAGACTATAAATATTATAGCAAAAGAAACACAAGAAACCAACTGAGATGAGAAGCATGTGCTAGCCCCTGGTCCACTGTCAGCATCAAACCCAATGAAGCTGGGACCGTCAAGAAGTCCAAACAAAGCTGCCCAACAGGCAGAAGCTGCTGCCATGGTATTCTGGGTAACACCTGCTTGTTTTTATTCTAAGGAACAAGTCCCAGGCTCAGTGAACCTGTTTGCACATCCTGTTATGTCACACGTTGTAGGTAGTTTTGTTTTGTTGTTTGTTTGGGTCTTTTCCACACCTCTTCAGAGTTCTAGTTCATAGGAAGAAAAAATGCCAGCTGAAAATCCATACTCATATAGGTGTTTAACAACCATGGCCCTAGCCAGACATTGGTGGCACACACCTTTATCCCAGCCCTTGGGAGGCAGAAGCAGGTGGCTATCTCTGACTTCGAGGCCAGCCTGGTGAGTGGGTTCCTTAGTGAGTTCCGGGAGTTATAAAAGCAGAGAAAGAAACCCTGTCTCAAAAAAATAAAAACAAAGAACTATGGCCCCTGGACTGATAATATACAAATACGCTTTGTAAGGCAGAAAATTCTGAGAAGATGATCTGGAAGGAAGCACAAGACATAAACTTAAGAGGTGTACTCACAGCCAGCCAGCAGGAGCTGGTAATACTGCACTGCTTCTGCGGCCAGGAGGAGAGGGTGATTCGCATTGAATGGAGGCTGCAGTTCATTCCACTGAGGCGTTCTAAGGAAACAGCAGAAGAATATTAATATTCAGGCTTCAGAGAGGGGATGTAAATCACTGGCAGAGGCTGATAGAGACTCAGACAAATCAATGTGTAATCAATAAAAGCAAAGCTCTTTAACTAGACACACAAGGCCAGGAACTTTAAAACTAAAAAGGTGCAATGTGCCACACAGATAACGTGAAGCCAACATAGCCTTATCAGAAGTAGAGAGGAGAGAAAGGGCAGTATTTAAACGCAACTACAGAGATGCCATTCTACCTCATTTTTGACCAGTGTTAGACATGTGCAATAAGAAACAAAGTAATTAAAAGTGATGAAAAGAAAGGAACTGTGTAAATAGACAACTTACTTTGGATCTAATCAGCTATTTCAAGAGACTGCGAAAGTTTAATTAGATCTGCCTGATTTTAAATAAGCTTGATAAATCAGATACTGACCAGATCAATCCCCCTCAGTGAATACTAGTAAAGAATACTGGAGCCTCAAGAAAATCAATACACTACTTTAAAATGTCAAAAGGAGAAGGGTCATCTTCATATCCATTTTATCTGTTTCCTTTCATACATGCCGGGTGACTGGTTTTCTTTCCTCCCTTGCACAATTCACTATATTAAGTGGGTTTTATTCCAAGTTTCATTTCTTCCTCTTTGTACTAGCTTATAAAAATTCTACGCATTGGATGCATTGAGATAATTTTAAACCTTTCCAGAGTGCCTGGCCATTGTATCCTGGATGATCACTTTAAGGAGACCTTAGAATCTCTTTGTAATAGTTCCTGGTTCCCTTAATGGCATTATTTCCGACAAGCATGTGAGACTGTAAGAAGAGATCAAGAACACATGTTCAAAGAGCCACTAAAGGCTAGGCTCATGTCAGGACTATACAAAGCCCGAACAGAGATACTCTTTGATTACATCCCTGGAGCACTGCAAAATTTCACCATGCACAAGTCTGTGCGGGAATGCTTACAGAAACAGAGTGGCAGTGTCCTCCAGCTAATGAATGGTAAGCAAGATGTGCTATGCCTACAAGAGATTGCATTAATATGCACCCGTAAAATACACTAACTGAAAGAAATCACACAAAAGATAATATATTACATGATTTCATCATCCGACGGGCAATAAAAAGCTAGAGCTGAACGAGACCTGGAAAGTTCTGGTGCAGGATTTCGTTATCTGATTAGGAAAAAGTGACCACAGAGGGGCACATATATGACTTGCAGTGCTTATATTTCACTGCATGTAGGCCCTGGCCAGTGAAAAAGAAATGGACTTAAGTCTGCCCAGGCTAAAGAAGCCAGGCAACAGTGTTTAATCTCACTGTTCCAGATTCTAGTGACAAGGTCAAGACAGAAAATCATATATACAAGTAAATGTATCCCTGTGAATGATCCACAGCCAGGTATATATGTTGAGATATGACAACACATATTCCTATGAGGAGGCCAGGGGGGAGGAGGGGAGGACTACCTAACAAGTGTCCAGCTGGCGCGGGGTGACGTCATCATCTCCAGTAGTGTGTCGTCACTTATCTTGGGAGCAGTACTGATTGGCCGGGGCTCAATCATGTGTTCCACTAAGGTCCCGTGGCAACTGATGATGTAAAGAGATTCAACAACAACTTGTTTGGACTGATCTGCAAAAAGAGAATCAGAACAAGACACATAATGATGGCACAGATAGGTCACAGGGGGCTTCTGAGATTATTGACCCTACTGTGTGCAGCGGGGCTGCTGAAAGAAACTGGAAAGAGCTTTGTCCCATGGCGTCTGCACAGCCTCTGAAGGTGCCTTGCATAAGCAGATGCCAGCGAACATGCCGCAACACTGTCAGAGATCAACTGTTCCAACAATGACATCATTATGCTAATAGTTGTAGTATAGATAAGCACTATGTTATAGTATGTACTTTCCCATTATTATGAAAAATAAGTGATATGGAGTAGGACATGGAAGGACCACCAGAGAACAAATGATCTCTCCAATAAAATTTAATTACTCTGGCTTGAACAACTGACCTGCAAGTCACATGTAGCTATGTGTGCTACTAAGTCATTTGAACAGTTCAACTATATTTTCTTGGGAGATTAAGTTTAGCCAAGAGAGAAGAGGCTCACCAGATATGAGTGGGTGCTGTACAAATGCTAGAGCATGAATATGAATCCACAAATTCCAGCAACAAACAAAACCCCCCAAAAGCCCTCCAGAAGGCATAGTCAAATGCATGCCTGTAATCCAGCACAGAAGAGTGGAAGAGAGGGAGAATCTCCAGGCTCAAAATGGCCGCCAAATGAGCTCCAGGCTCAGGAAGGCTCTGCCTCAATGGAACAAGGCAGAGAATCATAGAGCACAACACTCTGGCACAGACATATGCATGCACACACCTACACCTACACACACACACACACACACACACACACACACGTGCTTACACACAGAAAACAATTATTAACATCTGGATCAAAACAAACAAACAAAACCACATTACTTGTCTGTGGCAGGTCCTCAGTTGAAATAGATACAGCACTCTCGTGACAGAGTTTAAAACAAATGGGCAACAAAGCAAATAAATTTACTGTTGCTTTCTCTAAATTTGCCAGTAAACCGGGAACAATAAAAAAAAAAAAAAAAAAGACCCTCCTCAAACTAGTCCTTAATCTATTCCTCAATGATATGACTGGCTGCTGTAGTAAAGGAGGGCCAGTCATCCTTGGAGATAGCAGCGGTGGGGTCAGCTGTAACGCAGTGACTTTGTAAGGCTCACACACGTGCTCAGTGCCCCAGCAGCCTCCGTGCTCAGGCTCACGTTTTACAGTAAGCTGAGGAGAACTTAAGATCTCTTATGGACATTGTGTGGGTCATCTTATCTCTGTGTCAGACGAATCAATTACAGCTGATTTGAAAAAAATAGCCAATGACCAGCCAGTGGTACATAAAAGAGTAGTAAGCTAAAGGGGTAATTAGGACAGAAGGGAGAAGCATCTGAAATCGAGCTTTGCAGGTTTCAATGAATAACAAAAAAGTCCTTCCGATAGCATCATTAAACCAAAGACAGTAACAAAAAAATAAAGATGGGATAAGAAAATGGGAGGCTTAGCTACTCCACAGAACCCTTCCCAGCTGGGAAGAGACATGTTGTTCCAAGGTCCGATTACAAGGGAGTGGTCAGTGAAAGGTGAGAACCAGGGAAATGGCTGATGTCTGACTGCCAACAGTGAGCAGGGAGCATAGCCATTTTTGCCAAAAACAAAACCAACTCCAGGGAAAAGCCAGCGTGTGACCTAGTTGAATGACAATAATCAGGGAGAAATCATAACATTCAAAACCACATACTTGGTGTTTGAATGTAGACATTTTCTTCTATACAAAAACCACAGAAAGACCCTAAATCCAAGCTCTCTCTATATATATAGATGATAAAGAATCACATAATACTTATACAATACTTATACAAACATTCCAGGTATTGATTCTGGTGATCAAGGCAGAGATTAAAAACTTAGCAGTTGGGGCTGAAAAAATGGCTCACTGGTTAAGTGCATTCATTCTTCTCGCAGAGGACCCAAGTTCAATTCCCAGCACCCACACAATGGCTCACTAGCGCTGGTAACTCCAGTTACAGGGGCTCCAAACCATCATGTGCTTGGTGTCTATACTAAATGAGCACAAAACATTCATGCACTTAAATTCATTAAAAATAATTTTAAATTAAAAACAAAATATAAGAACAGTAATACAACCAACTCAAAGAAGCAATAGCCACAGAACCTGCCATCTAACAGACTGGCCTTTTTGTTTTCTTTTAGGCCTCTGCGTTTGGTTTGTTTTAAGGTGGCAGCAGCTTAGGGGCAATTGCTACACTTTGAGAAGGGTGAATTCAGTCCCCGGCATAACATCAAGCTGCCCAAAAATACCTGTAACTTCCACCATGGGGCATCTCCTGCAGGCAAATGCGTTCATACACACACCTATTCAGTAGCTAACATTAGCAAGACTGGTTGATTCCAAGTCTCCCATCAGTAAAACAGAGCTGACAAAGATTTTCCCCTTCCTCCTTCAGAGACAATACTGTGAAATTAGCATGTGCAAATGTGAAAGTAATAGAGCGGGTACAGCACTGACAGCCCTGAGACAAAATGTGTGCGCCATTGAAGAAAACGAAGGCAAAAATCCGCCAATGGGTCCAGGTGTGAGGCTGTACAAATTTAAATGCTAGCACTAGACAGGTAGAGGATGGTGGATCTCGGTGAGTTTGAAGACAGCCTCATCTACAAATTGGATTTAAAAACGGCCAGGGGTACAAAGAGAGACTTTGTTTCAAAAATAAATAAAAATATCTGTGGATGGTAAATTTACTTTCCATTTGTGAGAGAAACTACTTTTAATTCTTTGCGAGACATGACTAGTTAGGAAAGACATGCTAGATAAAAAGAATTTTTTTTATTTTAGTAATTTTTATGTAATAAAAAGTAGTAAGCTATTGGTTATAAAATCATTCTAGGGGAGCTGCTGGCTCTGTGTTCTAAAAGGTGAAATGCTGCAAGATAAACCGGAACATCAATGAATCACGTACCTTTTTCCCGTTTCAGACCCGCGTTGTTTGCAAACCACGACCTAGAGGTCCCAAACGTTGCTGCCACGCAAAACTCGCCACCCATCGACTTGCTCGGTGAAATTTGTGGAGGTGGCTTGACTTTGCTAGAAAGCAAAACGACATTTAAAAATTACCGTGATGAAACCACAGTACTCCAGATCATGAAATACTTCCCCCAAATTAAGCCCTACCACTAACTATTCAGACGTTACAGCACAGTCATGCATTTTCCCTCAAAGAATGACTGGCCAGTGGTATTAGATGATATTATGGGGTGAAGTTTCAACGGTATCAATGTTGAAGAGTCTGGTTAACAGAGTTGGGAGTAGTGGCACTAGCCTGTGGTCCCAGCTACTTTGAGAGCACGAGGCAGGCGGCATGCTGTTTTTGTGTCCCAGTTCTATTGCTAGCCTAGGCAACACAGTAAGACAGTGTCCTCTGAAATGGGTGTTGGTTTCGGAATTACAGCCAATCCTTTCAGGTGGTAAACATTCCACTGGAAACTATAAAATGGAGTAAAGAAGGGGTGGTCGTATCTCCAACATTAACAGTTCATTCTGACATCAAGACAAGAGTCTACCCATCTAGAAACATGCACGGAAATGGCGATGATTCAAATAAAGACTTGGCAGTGCTTGAAGCCTTGCTGCTCTGCAGAATCAACACTCTAGAAGATCTAAAGCAATGACCTACTGCAATTAGAGCCAGCCACCTTCCGAGCTGTCATTTAAATTCCTTTCTTTTCTTCCTGGATTCATGATTTAACTGTTTTGATCTGGGAAAAGATCAAGATAGAGCTAAATACTGCAAGTTTACCAAACACAAATCTGTTCCCACTTTGCTGTGACTGAGGGAGCTCACCCTAACCACGGGTACTAAGAATTTGTTTTCCTACACTGCTCAAGACACATTTTCATAACTATGTTCTACTTTGAGCATTCATCTTCTTTCAAATCTTGAATTTCTGTTCTCTTGTCAATTATCAAATGTACTAGCAATTATTCACCCACCTTTCATAGATTTTCCTTTAATTCAGAGCCCAAAAAATGACCTCACTGGCAAGAGGGTGGGCCTGGATGGACACATGAAGCTCAGCTCTGCAGTGGGTCCTACTGTGAACCAGTATGACTGCCACTTCTGTTGCCCTTCTATCTAATGAACTCTCACTAGATGTACTGGAATGAGAAGACTGGTTTCTCAAGTCAAGAAGAAACCTGAAGCGGAATGTCCTACCACTGCCATTCATTAGTTATGCCACTTTCAGTTAAGTAATTTCCCACTCCGAGCTCAGACTATAATATAAATGGGAATGCCTACTGTGTAGAGTTAAGGTCTGCATTTGTTCTCACAGTCTGGCCTCCAGAGCAGAACCACTGAGAACCTCTCAGATACTTGAGCAAATACTAATCATGTCCCATCCAAGATGTCATAAATCAAAATTTTGCAACAATCTGTGCAAATCTAATCTTTTGAGTACCCTCAATGTCCCCAGCAGATTACGTTGTGTATTCATAGTTGAGAACCACGGCTAGTGAAAGCAAGCAGGGCACCAGGGTCGCAGACAGGCGCCTAGGGGTAGGACCTTCACATGTCACAGCACTCAGCACACTTCCATCTGCAGCTCACAGAGCTCGCTTATCTTTCAGACAGTGCCTTAGTACTCTCACTTACCCCGTCTCTGCAGCACCCCTAACTCCCCTGCATCTAACCTCCTATGATCTTTGCACTGACACTTGTGCTTTCGCTGTGTGTGTGTTTGTGTGTGTGTGCGTGTGTGTCTGTGCCTGCCTTCCATTTTGAACCAAATCCATGATAGTGCACGTGGTAGTGTATAAAAAGGCTACTGCTTTCAACCACTCATTAATACTCACTGAACACATCATTCCCACAAAATCACTCACTCACACACACACACACCCACACCATAAAAACCAATTGCGGCCAGCCTCACAGAATCAGTCTTTGAAGAATGATGTCATGGGTGTGGTCCCACACATCTCCTCAGCATATGTGTTCTGACACAGTTGCCCACCAGCGAGGCCACAGCACTGTCCTTCCTCTGATATTCTAGCACAGGTGCGCGCTCCCCTGCTATCTGGGTCGCCAAACTTCTGGCTGTGCTTCTCCGTGTGTGCTACCTTAGACTGTGTGCTGCCCTCCAACACTTCTCACTCCATCACTGGGCTCCTAACACTGAGCTGACAAGCTCCTGTGATGCCATCGGTGACATCCCCCCGGCTCCTGTAGCCCTTAGGGGTTTCGAAGGCTAAGGGGAAGAGGAGAGAGAAGCCACTCAGAATTTTTAACTCATTTTATCTTTTCAGCCTCCAATAAAGAGTCTCTCTAGGAAGTGTGTGAAGTTGTGGGACTAGACCAACAGGAACCACTGATACTACGGAGTACGAGTAAGCTTCGCAGAAAAAAGCTCAAGTTTGAAAATTACTGGATGGGACTTTTGCAGTGGTTGGAGTTATTTAACCCTGTAATAATAAGAAGTGGCTCTGCCTTTTCTTGAGAGAAGATACTATGGTTCCTTTAAAGTATTTAAACACACTCAAAAAAAGTAGTGGGACAAAAGACCAGCTTTCTAACAGAATCAGGAGAAGTGGAAAAATTATAGGGCATCAATGTATGCTTGGAGAACATTCTATACATTTATCATCTTACTCTCTACCAAGCCTGGCAACAGCCAAATTTTATTATACTTCTATAGGCTTCACATAATTACATTCTGAAAGCCAGCACCAACACAGTGCTGAGTTTGTATACAAACTCACATGTGTGATGAGAAACAGTATTGTATGGTAAAGTTATGTAGAATTCTTGAAAAAATTTATTATTTTGGTCCTATATTTCATCATTTAGCCTTTATCTGGTGATAGAGATCAATTGATCTCATGATTTCAAAGTCAAGCTGAATAAAGATCATGTTTTTCCATGCTCATCACATGCTGCGGTGCTGAACATGGGAGGAAACATACTTAAGGGAGCTAGTTCGTATCAAGTTATTTCCATTCGTCAACATCTGGCATGATTTTGTCATTTAAGCAAAACAGAATCACAAAATATGTGAATGCATGTATAAATATTCTAGAAAAATAAAAAGATAATATAATAAAAAAGATTGCTACTTGGAAAACATTTTTGATGTGATCTACTCAAAGTTAGGAATTGTAACCCCGGCTCTGCTTGCCAATAATCTTAATTTAAAAAAATATATGGACGAACGCGTAAGAGCAAAAGTCTGCCCATGTGTGTCTGCAGCAGGCTGCACATGACCCTTTCCACAATGACCCAGAGTATTTCTATCACAAAATAACCTTCTGTTGACAGAAAAATGAAAGAAGGAAAGCACTTACATAAGTAATGGAACAGAAAAGGGCCAGCCCTATAAATCGTGCAGACTTTCAGACTCCTGACCTGACCTACACAGGAAAGTTTGTAACATTAACCTCTTTCCTGCGTGCTCTCAACATCTTTCTCCTCAAAACTGGTTCTCAACAAGTTCCAATCAAGAGAACACTGGTCAATTTAAGATGATATCAAATAGTACTTCCATTTTAATTGTTGCACAGAAGTTGAACTGGATTGATATACAGACTCATTCATGAGCTTAAAGAGACGTACTGCAGAATATAGCATGCACACTGACAGTTTATACGGAGACATATGGAAGAGCACAGCACACAGGCAGTCCTTCAGACAAGTTCCTATTGATACCTCTGGCCTCTCCACTACATTGAACACTTGGACTGATTCTTCAGCAAAAACATAAAGAAAAATGAAATGAACACATTTGCCAGTCACAACACAATAACAATTATAGGGTACCACATGCATTAAGCCCTGCTAAGGACCCAAGAGAAAAGCAGAACACACAAGCACAAAGCAAAATAAACACAGTGGTAAACAAAAACTGGGAGTTTAATTCTGTCACTTCCTCTGAGAAAAGGCTTAAGAATGGAAACTATTTTCTCAATGCCAGCTCACTAATATCCTACCATTTCCCAAATACTGGAATAAAGCTCTCCTCACTATCTAGATTAAACTGAATTTCTCTTGCCTGCTTTACAACTGAATGCAAATGAGAAAAAACAGAAACAAACAAACAGCAACAGCAAAACCCTTAACTCTAGAGACACCTGCTTTCTAAATAAAGGACCGTGTTTCCACCCAGATAGCTGTGCCATGCACCGCCACAGACAGGGACCTAAGGCTTCAGCAGTAGGAGGCCCACTCAGCAGACCTAAAGCCCAAGGGGCTGAGAGAGGGACATAGTGGCAAGAGCTCAGACAGAGCATCCTTTCTTTTATTTTAAAGGACGTAAGTGAATTGTTAATATTTGAGTTTGAGTGGAAGCAAACATTAAGAATTTCAATGGATGAAAAAATTAGTTTTCTTTACGAGCTTTATTAGTTTCTGTGTGATAAAGCTTTCTAAAAGGATTCAGATATTTTCTCGAATTTTTATCCTAACATTAGACTTGAGAGGCAACCAGAACTATTTTATTTTGAATAATTAAAAACATTAACAATCCACCTTAATTTGCTTATGCTAAGGTGGCAAAAGTTATTCTTAAAGGTTTAAGAGAGACGAAAACAAAAGAATAAAGCTGTGAAAATTTCCAATACTGGCAAAGAACAGGGTTACAGTTCGGCCAAGAATTCTCGGAGAACACTTATTTAAAAACAAAACTGACTACAATGACTACAATTCCATCTATAAATTAAATTTCTTTAAGAATGGAAATAATACAAAGGGGTTTTCTGCGACATAACCTTGACTATCTGCTGTGCACACACACAACTTCTGGAAAGCACTTTAGAAACAACATAATAAGACCCAGCACTACATGCACACTAAAACAATATTGTTAACACAGAAATTAAAATTCCACTCTAAGTGTCCCAACAGGCTGAGGCAGGAGAACTTTAAAAACTTTGAGGGCAGACTGGGCTACACAGTCATTTTCAGACCAGCATAGGCTACAGGGATTTGGTCTCAACAACAAAAATGTCAATGGTCATTCAAAAGCCAATAGTCTACGTAAATATAGAAACCATTGGAAACTCCTTGGCTACCTACAATGTTCTGTATCATTTCATTTCAAGCCTGCTGTGATATCAAAGGGAAAAATGCTGTTTTAAAAGACACTCATAAGAAAAGCCCTTTACTGAAGAATAAGAAATTAGTGCAAACTGTGACGTATCAAAAGCAAAAACCCTAACTAGGTACAAATGTTGTAACACAAAACTAATTTATGAAAATTGTAAGAAATTTACATTTTAAAAGAAGTTGTAAAGATTTCATGTTCATCCAACATAGATGTATTGCCTTACAACTGGATGTACTATAAACATACTTATTTAGCATAATGTTTTATTTTAGAGCAGTAAATAAAAACATTCTCAAGTTGAATGTTAGGTATCGTGGAAAAGCAGCAAAGGCTGCGGAAACAAAGCAGCCCTCATAAACAACATGGAAGAAGTTGTCAAATCTATATTCATTTTGCTGCCTTAATTTGAGGTTTCATTAAGATCTTAATGGAAAAAACATGCACCCTGGTAATGTAACATATTTAAAAGGAGGACCTTTCAGTCTAGTGTAAGTGACTAAAAACGAGTTTCTTGTGAGCTAACGATGGCATCAAACAAACCACAAAGCAGTCCTCTGAAAGACAGGCAGTGATTTAAAGTAGACCGTATTTCATAGATCCCTTTCTTTAATCTGGCTCTTTTAATCTTGTTTCAACCTCAAATCATTTCTGGTTGACAAGTGCTTTTGCTTAAATGTGAGGAACACATAAGCTGTTGGGGGAATGGACTTTTCTTATTTAGCATACATTTGTTACTCCATCTTTAGTTGCAAGTCAAAACTTCAATCTTTATTAACATGCTGAAACTCTTTGCTTTGTACTTAGAATGAGGAATTCATCCTCGAATGGAATTAAATTCCACATTTAGTACACAAAGACATTTAATCATATTTTGGATGTGGCATTTATAATGCCCTATTCACTCTAAGCCAGCAAAATCCATGTATCTTAATAGTTTTGAGCACAAATCTGGTTTATAAAAAGAAAGATGAACTTTCAGAGGGTTTCTCTCTGAATATTCTAAATTTGTTAAGAACAGTATTGTTGATGCTGTCTCAGTTACGATGCGGAATTATAAAGGTGAGTATGTGATGGAGATCATTTTCTATCAACTAGCCCTATATGATAATGAAAAGTGCTGCTCCTAGGGAGCAGCAGCACTGAATATGTTCCATGAAACGACAGCCACCTGCAAAACTGGATGGTTTTGGAGACAGACTCTCAGGACATGTCCCAAACTGGACTTAAACTGGCTGTCCTACTGCCTCAGCCTCCTAGATGCTACAATTCCATGTGTGTAGCACAGGTCCAGTTAAAAAACTCTTCAAAGCACAACAGAGCACAGTGAACAAGTCTTAGCAGTCACGAGGAACAGGCAGATGTGAAAAGTTCATATACCTTTCATTTTTTCAAAAATTCCTTTTGCCTCATATGTCCTTAAAAATAAAAGATTCTGGCACATGCCTGTAGTCACAGCACTAGGGAGCGGAGGCAAGCTGGAGTCAAGCCTGGTCTACATAGGAGTTCTACGCTAGCCAGGGCTATGTAACGAGACCCTGGCTAGAGGCAAAGCACATTATCTTTTCAGACAGGCTGTCCAACCTGGAAGAGTCGGTCCTCAGAGTAGTTACTTTGAAATGAGTTGCTACTACCTGCCCTGTCTCCAGGCACTGCAGCGGATTTAATCCCCACAGTAAACCCACAGAACAGTGGCTACTGTTCGTTTCATTGCATACATAGGAAAAGCAGGCAACAAAGAGTTCCAGGGTATTTGAGATCACAGTGCTTGTAAATGTACAAGCTAATATGTAAGAGCAAGGCAGCTTTATTCTAAAACCCTGCTCCTAATTACTACAGCATTTTATGTCAGATCCTTAACATACTCAAACTGATAATGAAACTACGACGTACACTCTTCCCTGTGGGTTCCATGCCTTCAGCTGACAAACTTGTCTAATATGGTTCAATAGAATGTCACATTCCTTTATCCTGCAGCTCCTTAAATACCTAATCTATTCTAAGCAGAGCTCAACGCAGCCCTTCTGGGAACAAATAAAATAACTGCAACTTCCCATCACTACATTACGTTTAAAAACAAACTTCACTCTCTAGTATTAAGCACTATACATAAGGAAGTTTATATTCGAAGCTCTCAAATTGGGGCTAGACATGTCACATTATTCTCCAGTGTGGCAAAAGAATTCTACTTAAAAACAAAAACCAAATCTGATATTTGTAGGAAAAAAACATTTTGAAGGATTAAGTAAGACCAAAGAAACTGCTTTTTAAAAACTGCTTTTTCAACATTCATGTCTACTTGTCCACTGACTCAGTGCATCTATCTGTGATCAGGACATGCAACTGAAAACAAATCATAAAACAATTACTTTTTGAGAGTACAGCAAATGAATTAGGCATGCGGGACTGAACGGGAACTCACCATGGAGCTTTTATGGAAAAACACCCCGCTCCAAAGAGATAAGGCCTTGGTAGAAAAGGGGGGAAAATGCACAAAAAAATTAGAAAAAAATTCATTCAACATTAGCAAATACATGTATATCGTACTGTTAGAGTGTGATAAAAGTCAAATTAATCATCATTTCAATAATGTCATATGTGCTGTGATGAACCAATAAATGAAGTATAGAAACAAGATCCTTAGTTTTCATAGACATGTAGATTTGAATTTTTTCTATTTCTCCCCCTTTTCTGGAGCACCCCTGCAACACTTCCAATTTAAAATAAAACACATGCCTGAAGCCCTTAAACACAAACTACAAATTAAATAGGATAATCAGATGGTGAAGAACAATTACTACATGTGACCAAAATACTATCAGCTAAGGACACCAGGACTACAACGCGACAACGTGCTCCCAGTTTCTGTCTCTCAACCACAGTTTCCAAGCCGCTAAACTGCAGGAAGCTGAATGTCATGTTGTTCTGTGGGTCATCAGGAAAAACGATGGATTGGTTTCTACTTCTTGTCACATTCCAGAAAACTAGTGCAAGAATATTGCCTCCTCAACCTACCTGTACGTGGCTGGACATTCAAAATACCGCTGGGCATGTAGAGTCAGAATTCAAGAATAAATTTTTTTATGCTTCAAATTCAGTTTCCAATATTTTATGCACAAATAGGGCTCTGTGATTTAATTATATTAAAAAAATTTTTCTTTACTATGACATCTGACATTTGGAAGACATAAGAAATTGAAGGGAACACACATTAGTAAGCCATGGTTATTTCCCTTTTGAAAATTGGAGACTGGAACATTAAGGCGAAAGATAATCCTGCCAATTAGCATTAATTTCCAAACAGAGTACATTCCAGAAAAATTAAAGGTTAAGCAAAATGCTCTCACAACAGTAAGCATGATTCCTGGTTTCAAAATGCAATAGATACCAAAGACAGACTGAGAGACATGGGCAGTAACTGGGGAGAAGAGAGACAGAGGAATGACACATGTGACAAAAGGGAAGTGAGGAGGAAGGGAGAAAAGAGAAAGGAAGACAGGGAGGCTCAGGCCAACCAGAACTCTTGTAACCTTTAAAGGTTTAGTTACTGGTAAGGACAGAACCAGGAAAATCTGCACTGTCTTCCATCATTTTTCTCTGAGACCCACAAAACATTATCATTAAGTTGCAGGGAAACAAGTCATAAAAACAAGATTGAAAGAACAAGGGAATAAACGCAGTGTTTGCTTTCATTCATTTCCTTTCAAAAGACAAGTTACTATTCCCTCAACATTGCATGAACTAGCGCTGGGGTTTTGCTACAGTGCAGGGTAAATGCATTTCTTACTGTCAGAGATGAGGCTAGGGAGTCTATGTTGTGAAACTTCCAAAATGTTACTGAGTCAGGCCAATGTAGCCCAACTGCTTACTCCATTATATGACATGGAAGAAAAATTCTGGTCATATCTACTTGGATTTAAGACTTATTAATTAAAACAGCACAGGTATGTCACAAGAGGTTACCTGAACTGTCTTAAGTCTCTATAGCATAAGGACCCTGTGCACCAATGAGCAGGAAAAAAGAGGGCAGAGCCTTTTCAAAATGCCAGAAATACATTGGAAATGAAGGGACTTTTGTTGGCAGACAGTACTCACCTTCTATTTCAATTACTTTAAGTAGAACACCCAAATACTCCAACACTCTCAATGATTTTGTAGAAATGCTGACATCTGAAACAGCCTCATGTTGCCCTTGTGTATACAGACCTACCCAGAGCCCTCGAACTGGGCAAGATAAAGCACACAGCTAAGAGCTAAATATTGACAGGCACACTGAATACCCGAATATTCACAGATACAAACATATTTGCAGGATAAAGAACTTAAAAGTTTGTTTTGAAACTGTCTGCTCATTCTGCAAAAGACTTCTCCATTAACATAAAAAACAAACAAACAAAAATGGAGCAAAATCTGTCTCTAGTATAAAAAACAAACAACAACTCACTAAAGTAAGAACTTGACATTCACCACAAAAAATCTTCTCCTGGGTTTTAAGTTTCTTAATTTATAGAATAAAAGCATAATTTAAGAAAACGTACAAAATAAAACCTTGGTTTTCTTCCCAGGAAGCTACAGGGTGTTACCATAGGCTCCCCCCTCACACACACACACGCACAGTCACAGAGTGAGTAGGCTCTGAGCAGTGGCATGGTCGTCTCTACAGATATCAGGATCTACTGCCATCCAGAAATGAAGTACAGGCCAACAGCTCCTCCAGAGGAGGAGGGCTGGAGACAGAGTGAGAATGTACTTTGGTGTGTAGGCTTGGCATGCATCCAACTCATATTTGCCCACTTCTTGCCTAGTCGAGCAAATTGGACCTCTGCCACATACATGTGAAAGATCCAAAGAAGTGCAGAGACTCACACCACTATTGACTGAGGGTGGTGTCAGCTGCTCTTCTTTTGAAATATTTTTGCTTAATCTTTCTTTGGGAGCAAAAGAAAGAAAACATGAAGTCACAAAGTCGGGACCCGTGATGCAGCTGTCTTCACCTAAGACTCCCCTCATACAGCCGCCTCTGAAAGCCCACAGCTGCAGTTTCCTACTGGACTGTGGTGAAGGTAGTGAGAACAGAGAGAGCATATGAGTGGGTGTAATGGGTAACACGAAGACTAAACTCAGGTCACTAGAGATGGCTATGAAGAATATGCAAGTCCCTGTTAGTTTACAATACCACCACATAAAACCTGCTCCATGTCATACAGATGTTCTTGTTGATCTGGATTCCAATTGAAAAACAAAGAAAAATCAACTATTCAATGAACTAAAAATCCAGCAATGATTATTAGAGAATTCTTTACAGACTAATATAAATCACCTGGCAATTAATTCTCAAAGGAATTCTCAGAGAATCTCACAAAATGGTTATAGTACTTTAAAAGGGGGCTGAAGAGGTTTTTCAGTGGTTAGAGCACTTACTGTTTTTCCCAGGGACCTGGGCTTGGTTACAAGCACTCACAGGTGGCTCACAGCTGCCTGTATTGAACATACTCAAACTTCTATAACCTGATTCCAGTGGTAAAAGATTTCACCAATCATCAGTAGACCCGGGATGAGTCCCTGAATGAGTGGCTTTCTAAGCTGTCTATGCTGCTTTCAAGTTTGTGATCTTGCCTCAGTGTCCTCAGTGCTGCGACTACACACTGTACCAGCCTGCTCACGCCTGTTGGTCCTTCTCTGGACCTGGAATTTGGGAGATTTACATATATACACATAAAACTCTCATACTGTTCTTCAGCAGATCAAGTTCTGTGATCAACCAAAAAGGAAGGGTCGGAATGAGCCCATGGAGATGGAAACTGCACAGGAGAGAAAAAGCTACAGCACATCACATGCATAGCTCTCACATGAGGTTGAAGCCTCTACTGCTGTGGTGTGTACCTCTTTCTCTTCAGCAAATGATGTGAGCTCTTTATTTCCTCCCCCATTGCTGCAAATTAGCCCTGCTGTAATTTCCAGCTTTTAATTTGTTCATTAATTGAATTGTAACTGCTCCCTACCAGACAGGTCTTATGGCACTGGTGGTTTTCAATCTGCATATCTGTAGGACAAACTGAAGCTGAAACAGACAGCTGACTAATTTGAGACATATTTGGCATGCCAATTTAAATTACAAACTCAAGATGTAAAAGATTTACATTAGAAAAACACAGATAATGCTGAAGTTCTTCCATATGCAACAGAAGAGAGACTAGCATAGCATAAATAATGTCAAACTTCTGTCGACTTCTATGCCTGCTGACTTTCAATATGGTATATAGTTGACTTCTTTCAAATAAAAAAAATAAAACAGATTTACAGCAAAATGTAATAAACTGTGGTATGGCTTAAGTACTCTACTTATTTGGCGCAAAAACTAGAAACTCAAACTATGGTAAATATATTACACATGTAGACAAAAGCACACACACTCAAATGAAAATACACTCTATTATTTTATATCTGGAACCAAACTTAGCCTGTAAGGTTCGGGGCTCAGATGGACTGGTCCAAAAAAGCCAAGGTGAACTGAATTGAACGGAATTAAAATAAGGAATGGATTTTACATTAAATATATGAAAATGTCATTTACTCTGACAAGAGCTGATGAGAAACTTGTTTTACAAAAATCAGCTGGAGATGTTCAAATAAATGCTATTAAGTGCCTCCATGTCTGTGAGAAATGTATACCTATTGATTAAGTGTGTCTCAGAAGGGCTAAACAGTGGGTCAGACTTAAATGAGGTGATGAGCTCAAAGAATTGCTGGCCTTGCAAACACCCACAAAGGTGGTTTCTTTTCATAGGAAGAAACTTATGTACGAAAATGATAACTAGTGCAAGTATCTACAAGAGAAGCTATGGCTACATATGATAGACATTCTTTTTTTAAAAGAAGATAGCCCACATTTTCAAGATACTCACAAGGAAATGAAGATATGTGAAGGTGGGGAAAAAGGGATTAGATTGCCATGAAAGAATAAGTCATATTTCACTTCCAATAGGGGTCAACCAGGTAAAAACAATGAAGTGACTTCATTCTCAATGTTTATAGTCTTTGCCCACAACTCCCACCAAACAAAAACAACAACAGAACAAGTCCAACCTCTTTCTAGCATTTACGGCATTCTTATTGTGTCCACAAAATTTACATATATTATCTCAGATTTGAAAAAGAATGAACACAATGAAAAATGTGTTATAACTCAGCAATGAAAAGTATTCTCATTTGATTCAATTGAACCAACTGAAATGTTCATAATTCCAGCACAAAAACCTAATCTCCTAAAAACAATCCCTAATATCGCTTTCCTTCTTTCCCTATCTCCCTCCCTCATGAAACAAAGACCGGAACCCAGAGCCTCATACATGTGAGGAAAAGAGCTCAAACACAATGATGGGTAAGGGGCTTTCCAGTCCTCCAGTACCAGACCCCGTTTACATGACTGAACTCTAAAATCAAATAATTCCTAGGTCTTCCTTTGCCTTTTCTGAGCTCAGCATCAGAGCTAAGCAGCAGCTGTTGCCATCAGAGGCCGTATTTCCTCCAAGAGATGCTTCGAGGTATTCAACAGAAAGGTGTAAATACAGCTGTCCTCTGCCATTTGTAGTTATACCAGCCTCATGTGCGCAGGGGAGTGAGACAGATGGCCCCACACTGCACAGGCTTTCAGGGACATATATTTGTAAAAATAAGAGAGCAGATGTTAAGCATGGTGAAGACAAATTTTATACCCCGAAGACTTAAGCTGAGGTTTGTATGTCCATCTTGGATGTCTCATCTTCATAATTCTGCAACAGAATTCTAACATTTTGTGCCTATTTTATGTCTTTACACAGAATACCAACTTCAGACAAATGGCAGCTGCTCTAAGGAGCAAACAGATATATTACCAGGTATATCTGAACAGACACAGCATTTACATATCTGCAGTGGGTGAGTTCAATGTCTGATTTCTAAATAATCATGGGAACCAGCCTAATTAATTATATTTTAAAAGCACTTGGAAAGTCATGGGTAACTCAGCATTTTAGGAATGAAGAGGCCAGGAAAAGGAAAACTCTGCTTGGTTACCTTCATGAGAAAAATCAAATTTCCACGAAATAAAGCAAAATGGGGTAGAAATAATTAAAGGTAAATAGCTAGCTGCAGGATTAGTCAGAGTTTTGAAAATGTTTCAGTAGAATGAATAAATGTCACCTGTGCATGAATGCTAACTCCATAAAATCTAAGGGATGAAACTACAGCTGGCATTTATTTCAAAACAGCCTGTGACAAACTGAGCAAATGTATCCTCAAGCTTTTCTATTTGTTGGTAGAGCTGGGACTGGACTGAGGCCCTCATACATCCAGGCTGTCCTCTTATCTGATCTTACTTTGGACACCCAGTCTGACCAACTTGCCTTGGCTAGCTTTGAACTTGAGATCCTCCTGCTGGGGTTAAGATTACAAGTCTGCACCCCCAAGCTCAGCCAGAAATTATATTCTTACAAATCATCTATTATTTTCGACAAGACAAATGCACATTTTATGTGGCTTATATGCAGCGAGGGAATCAGAAAACTGACAATTGCAATTTCTGAGGATAATCAACAAACATTTCAAAATTGTCATATAAAGTAATTGTGATGTAGGCGGGAGAGATGGCTCAGCAGTTAGGAAAGCATGTGACTATAAGTTAGGTTCCTGGGACCCACACTGGGAGCCCACAACCACCTGTAATTCCAGGGATCTGATTCCACTGGCACCACACACACTCATGTCCACCTATC